CGTCCCGGCCCTCACCGCCGCCCCTCTGCCCTCCTCTCCCGCAGGGACGAAGCGCGCTGCCGCCGCCTCCTTCCACAGCAGCGCTGCGGCCCGCGCCAAGGAGGACTACTACCAGGTGCTGGGGGTGCCCCGCACCGCCACCCAGAAGGAGATCAAGAAGGCCTACTACCAGGCACGTCCTACCGTGGGCCCGGCGGGGGGGGGCCCTGCCGGGGCAGGCGGGGTACCGGCGGGGCGGGGCCGTAGCCAGATAGAGGAGTCGTAGCCGCCCGCAGTCTCTCTTGTACGGCAAAGAACAAAAAAGCCTTTGAGATCCCTGTGTTTGGACCCGCTGGAGACAAGGGGAGGTATTGGTGGGAAAGCTCAGCACATCGGTTTGGGGGTCTCTTCAGAAGTGTGGTCCGCCTGTGCTGTCATCTTGGGTCTCTTTCCAGAAGGTCCTGGGATTGCTGAAGACATTCAGGAGCAGCTTCTGTAGTTCCATATATTAGGATGATAGCAGAAAATGAAAGCTTTTAGTTCCCTAAAATACAGATAGTGAGTGCCAAGCCTTGCCTAATATGTTTTATCTGACACGTGAGATATGCTAAAGTAAATTATGTCTGACTCTAATAGTTTGACTTTGTTGTTTAGCTGGCAAAGAAATACCACCCTGATACAAATAAGGATGACCCTAAAGCTAAAGAGAAGTTCTCTCAGCTGGCAGAAGCCTATGAGGTAATATGCAGGATTTTGTCGTCATGAAAAGGAGGAAAGATCGGGGGGTAGATGGGGCGAAACATTTCTTGTGTGCATTTCCTGTAAAATCATGGCTCATTTTTCATGCCTTGTACTTTAAGCGTGAGTGCCTCTGTCCCAATGGTGTGTCCAGGCAATTACTTAGCCCAAATATCTGACTTAGCTGCATATCTGTTGGGCTGTTTGAATTTATGCTCTGTCTTAGCAGTGAGTGACTTGCACGGATGCTGTGGTGACTGCAGTGGAATTATCGGTCAGCTTAAATAAACAAACAAAAAAACCTGTCAGCAGTTACTAGCTTTTTGAGACAATGGTATGTTCCACTGTGACATACCCCAGCCCTGTTTCTTCTTGCTCTTCAGATTGTTCAGAATTTCTTTTGTGCTGATTTTCGCTCTCTTGGGTTTTCAGATTTACCCCAGCACTCTTATCACCAGCTTTCACATCATATATTAATGATCAAATATATAATGTAAATTATTCTTGCTTACAATGACTTAGTAAGATTTTGTCATTTTCCTGATGACAAGCTGAGAGAGACCAGGGAGGAGGCAGCTTGTCAGTAATTCATACTCTCCTGGGAGCTGGGATAGCCCTCCTGATGACAAGAAGGTTTTGAGAATGTGGACTTGTGGCGGTAATGCCAGTAGCCTTGAATTCTCCTGAGAGATGCTGCTTTGCAGATGCAGGCTGTCCAGTTGCTTGGGATCTGTATGGTGTCCTGATGGCATCGTTCTTTTGCCTTAAAGGTATTAAGTGATGAAGTGAAGCGGAAACAATATGATGCGTACGGCACGGCTAGTTTTGATCCTGGTGCAGCAGGTGCTGGCGCTGGGCGGCAGTACTGGAGTAGCGGTCCATCAATTGATCCGGAAGAGCTTTTCAGAAAAATCTTCGGAGAGTTTTCGGGATCCCCTTTCGGTGATTTTCAGAACGTCTTTGACCAGCCACAGGAGGTATGAAGTACATTTATTTTCTGAGTAATAAAATGAAAATGAGAAATGAAAAACACAAAAACCGGAGAGGGACACTATTTTGTCACAAATCGCTCCAGGAGCGAGCTGAAGCAAAGAATTTGCTCTGGGAATGTCAGCACGTGAGTGTCCCATTGTATGAGTGGGAGAGTCACGTATTTTTGGTAAGCCATGTGGATACATTCTCCATGCCTTCAGACAGAGCATTTTTGCTGGACTTCAGCTACTTCTTCTGGTGTTTACTGACACCAGTTGGTGCTGCCAGACAATTCCGTCATTGTAAAGGCATCTTTTTCTGCTGTACGTTGATTTACATATGTCTGCTTTGATCTGTAATGCTAAAAACCACAAAATACCTTTTAACTATAAAACAAGCCTCCCAGCATTAGGTTTGACTACTTAATTGGCTTAATTTTGCAACTTAATTGGCTGGCTTTGCAGTGGAGCTCATAATAAAACAAGAGCTGTGTCCTGTTCTTTGTACTGCAGCTAAATGCTCTTTTAAGTACTGACAGTGTTGGTTCATGTGCTGCCTTCAGAAATGCTTGGTATTCGGTGCTTCTGGCTTTACTAAAAATGACCTTTTTATTATAAACAGAATTTCATATTTTGTACAGTCATCTTTGCTGATGACTTCCCTTGGTAAGTAAAGAGTTTATTGAGGAAGAGCCAATACTATCTTTGGGATTGAAAGCCTTCACCCTCACCTGTTGCTGCATTCCCATTAAACAAAACCTTCAGAAATATTCAGGGTTTTCCTGAGAGCAGAAAAATGCTTGACTTCTAATTTTACTTGCTTCTTTTCTGTATTTAAATCTCATTTGTGCTACAAAACTGCTTATCAGATGGGTGTAATCATCATTCCTGTAATGTTTGCTATCCTTTTGTACCCCTTTTTATTTATATGAGACTGCTTCCTCAAATAACGCAGAGCCCTTCTGAATGAGTTGTGCATCCATCTGTTTCTCCCCCCCTCATTACCTGGATGTATTTTAAGCATTGTTTGATACTTGGCCTAAACCAATTTCGGTCTGCTTAAGACCCCATCGCTTGTCAGCTGTAGATTGGTGTCCATGTTTCCTGTACAGTACATCATGGAACTGACATTCACCCAAGCTGCAAAAGGTGTTAACAAGGAGATTGTGGTAAACATCAACGACTCCTGTGGGCGATGCAATGGTAAAGGACATGAACCTGGTACCAAAGCGCAGCGCTGTCACTACTGCAGTGGCACTGGCATGGTAAGTGCTTTTTAAGACACAGGTTCTGCTGTGCTTTTCCTTGTTGGGGCAAGTCAGTCCCTTCTGCAGTGAAAAATTCTCACTACACTCCTCAGCTTATCTTGGGTGAAGCCGCGTAAATGTGGGCTTGATGTTAATAGGCACTAGGAAGATTTTCTTTGTATTAAAGAAGTGCTCTGCCCAGCTAAAAGCACTAGCCTTCAGGGCTAGATCATCTGGTATTGTACATCCAGCAAACCATATTTATATAATGTAACAGTTCTGAAATTACTTAACCATATTTATGTAATGTAACAATTCTGAAATTGCTTGGGCATTAAATGGGATACTTTGAATTGAGGGGTGGAGGGTGGTGGAGGAGGAAGGTGATAGCTTAAGGGTAATCATGAAATAAGAAGATGCATGCTACTTACAGTAAGTAAAGAAATTAACACCTCTCCTGTGGAGAAAAGCTGACAGAGTTGGGGTTGTTCAGCCTGGAGAAGAGGCGGCTCTGGGGAGACCTCATCGTGGCCTTTCAATACTTAAAGGGGGCTTGTAAGAAAGATGGGGACACACTTTTTAAGCAGGGCCTGTTGCGATAGGACAAGGGGTAACGGTTTTAAACTAAAAGAGGGTAGATTCAGACTAGATATAAAGAAGAAATTTTTTACACTGAGGGTGATGAAGCACTGGACCAGGTTGCCCAGAGAGGTGGTGGATGCCCCATGCATGGAAATATTCAAGGTCAGGTTGGATGGGGCTCTGAGCAGCCTGATCTGGTTAAAGATGTCCCTGCTCACTGCAGGGGGGTTGGGCTAGATGACCTCTAAAGGTCCCTTCCAGCCCAAACCATTCTGCGAGTCTATGATTCTGTGATCGAGCTTCAGACTTTCCAGTTCCACACATGAAAATGGGTACTGGCAATCAGTCTGACCAGAGTATCTTTCTGCACAGAACAGGCGTAGTTGGTCAGAGGAGACCGCAGGCTCTTCCCGCCGTTTCACCATGTGCTTCAATCTGATGGGTGACTTTCACAGTTCAGTCCATAGCTTAGTCTCCATAACATTTTCCTGGACACTGGCAATAATTCATGAAAGTGGATTGTCCTTGGATTCCTCAAAATGCAGATGTTTGTAGTTTTTTGTGAAATAGCACTGTCAGGAGCTTTGTTCCTGCTTGTGTGTTAAAGCCTAGAGATGGAAAGTGTTGTGCTTCCCTTCCCCTCGCCATGAGACACTGGCTCACAGTGATGGTTTTCTGTGGAAATGAGAATGCGATGGCAATTGAATCTGATCCAGCTTCTCACAAGCAGCATCCTCTTTGGATTTCTGAGCCAGTTTTCTGCTCCACCCCTTGCCAAAGGGTATTGCTGTCCTGTCAGGTTGCATGTGCAATTAGAGGGACTCAGATGTGCTGGGCCAGTCACTGGCAGTGTTTTCGGAAGTGAAAAGTACTATCTTGGTACCAAATATTTGTACAATCTGTGTTTTCTTCACTAGGAGACGATAAACACTGGCCCTTTTGTAATGCGATCTACATGCCGACGATGCGGCGGTCGTGGTTCCATCATAACAACACCGTGCGTAGTATGTCGAGGAACGGGGCAAACCAAACAAAAAAAGACAGTGATGGTTCCTGTGCCAGCTGGTTAGTGTTGTACTTGTGTGCTGCTCTCTGTTAAATAACCAGAGTTATTTGCTTCTACTTGGCTTCCACTTGCCTCCGCAGCATGGCTGGTCCCTGCCAGATACAAATGTGAGGGCAAAATAAGTTTTGCTGCAGAGAAGTTATCTTAAGAGCAAAGCAGGTTGATAGCTTGGCAATTGAAAGGGTTAGTGATGAGATGAACTTTCTGGCCTTGGATATAAATGTTTGCTTTGCCCTTCCTGAGCTGAGCTTTTGGTTCTCGCATGGATCTTTCTAGGCAGCTTTTGAAGAGTGAAACTCAAAAGGGTTTTTTTGCCTTGGGTCTTTCATTTCTTCTTGATGAAGCTTGGGGGGAGGGTGGGAATCTTGAAAGCTTAGCTCAGAAAAGAGTGCTGGTGCCCTTCCTCACCAAAGAGGACAAAATGAGTGGTGGGGCTGAAGACTTGCTTCTTTGAGATTGCCCTGGGAAAGCAGCCTGTAATTTTCCTGCAGCTTGTGGAGGCTGCCCAGTGTTCCTTAATCTGATGCATTTCCCTAAAGAATTCTGTAAGGAATTGAAGCAATGACCCTGCTTGGTGTCTAGCAATCACCTCAGAGGTATAAATGTGTGCTGAAACCTCCTTCCTTTGGCTGTGGCTCCTGTGGAAAGTTACTGTGCTGCCTGCTGGTATGTCTTCGCGTGGATTATAACGCAAAGTAACTTTCTCTCTTTTTTTCTGATTGCAGGTGTTGAGGATGGGCAGACAGTTCGGATGCCTGTGGGGAAGAAAGAAATTTTCATTACATTCAGGGTACGTATCGTTACATTGTTGGCTGTTTTCATTATCTAAGTTGGTTGTTCCCTTTGCAACTGCTTGGGAGCTCTGACTGACTGAATGGGGAATGGAGGAGGAAGAGCTAGTGATCCTTTGAAACAGCTGAGGTAACATGATCCATGTGCACTTTCTGAGATAGCAGAAGATCTGCATTGTAACAAGTGGTTTAATGTTAAGTCTGCTCATGAATTGCGCTGTGTGTTCCAGGATGAGGCCCTTATGGTAGCGTGCATCAGGATGCAGAGTAGGTTCTTGATGCCTTGAGTCTTTGACTTGGAAATGTGAAGGAGCTGTCTGCTGGCAGTGGTGGGAGCGCTGCGAAGGGCTGCGGGAATGCCTGTGAGAGGCTGGCTGGTCAAGTCTCCTTTTGCAGATACACATTAAGTGCTGCTCTGCACATGTTTTGTAGTTGGGGCCCTCTTCTCCTGTAGGTATCCTGTCATACGCATCTCTGTCAAAGGGAAAACTTTCTTCAGCACCTTTTTTTGGTGCAGGAGGATTTAATTCTCTTCCAGCTTGTGAGGCCACTGCGAAGGTGCCTGCTTCCCTTTTCTCTTCTGGCTTTCCCCTGTTCAGGGTACTGGACAAAGTAGTGTCTTCTCTGTCTGTGCAGAATCGTACTGACACTTATAAATTAACAATGGGATTAGGGGAGGGAGTTGCTGAGATAGGAAGCACGCATCCTCCTAAGCCTCTGGCTAATTATGGTTATGTCAAGATCTGTGTTTTTCTAAAAGACTGAACATTAACTTGGGCTTCTTAGCTGTGCAGTTTGTGGATGGTAAAGTGTCTGACTACAGCATTCTGGTATGTTTTCTTCTGAGAACTTTCAAAGCAGTTTACAATGAAAACTTCATGGTGTTGTGCTCACTTTTCTTTGGAACTGCCTGCCTTTTAGGTTCAAAAAAGTTCTGTGTTCAGAAGAAATGGAGCAGATATCCATTCAGACCTCCTTATTTCTATAGCACAGGCTGTCCTGGGAGGCACAGCCAGATGTCAAGGCTTGTACGAGACAATCAATATCGCAGTAAGTACCATTATGTGGAAGAGCTTGGGCATAAATCAATGTGGGACAGCAGAGACTTCTTCTTTGCTGCAGAAGTGGTGCAGTCTCCTAAGTCTGCCAGTATCGCATTTCAGACTTCTTCAGGATTGAGTGTCATGTAGTTTGTAGCCTGGTCATACCTCCTTTCCTATCACTGTGTAGGGACAGGGAAAGGAAGGGTTGGGTGGTATTTCTGGACAAATCCCATCCAAGGTCTGCAGACTGTGCAAGGTTCTTTACTTGTTCCTTCAAAAGCTTTTTCCATCATTGCTGACTTAGCTTCTGAATGTGTCCAGATGCACGAATGTACCAGATCTCTCTCATGCTACTTTGAAGCTTGCTGGAGACGTAGCTAATTATTGTAGACATGTAATGTAATTACTGTAGAAATGGTTAAATTAGAGTAATAAAGGTCACCTCTCTGTGTTCATAGATACCCCCGGGTATTCAGCCAGACCAGAAAATTCGAATGAGTGGGAAAGGCATTCCCAAAGTTAACAGCTATGGCTACGGAGACCACTACATTCACATAAAGATAAAAGTTCCTCAGTAAGTAGAGCTAATACAAGTTTCTGTGAAATCTTGAACTTTTTGCAAAAAACATTGTTCAGAAAGATTTTGTGAAAATTCCTTACTGCTTTATGAAGAGCATTAATTTCTCACTCTGCTTTTAATTCTGATGTGAGGTAGACTTTTTTTTTTTTAAAAATAATACCATTTGGCAACCCAGCTCTAAAAATCCTAAACTCTGGAAGTAAGTAAGTAGTTCTTCACCTGCCTGGCTATCTGCAATTCTGTCTGGATCCCGGTTATGTAAATTCAGTGTTCTGGCTTATAACGCATCTGTACTCTCACACCTACAGCTTAAAGGAACTGAAGTCCTTGGCAGTTGCTTTTCAGACTGCTTGGCCACCCTCTGCTCCTGTGGTGAAGGAAACTTTTTAGCTTGTATTGCTGCACTTGGCAAGGGAGTTAATTTCCTGAGGTCTCCCCGCCAGATGTGTGTTCTGTTGCAGCTCCACACGGTTCTTAGCACTTACTTTGTTTTTTCACTGCAGTTCGGTGAAATGCAGTGGGTCATATCTCTTCTCTTCCATTGAGGCTTATTCTTTATAGATTGCTCATTTTAAGAGCACCGTAGGGATTCACAGTGTATGCCAGGTATATTAATCTTGTACTTCCAGTAGCTGCCTCTCGTGCGTACTGCTGGAGAAGGTTAAGGAGGTCTGTAGATACATCTGTCTCTAAAGACAGCCCTAGCCAACACCTCTGTCTTCGACCTGCAGGAGGCTGACAGATCGCCAGAGAGCCTTAATGATGAGCTATGCTGAGGACGAGGCAGATGTGGACGGCACGGTGAACGGAGTCACAAATACAGCATCAGGTGAGCGGTGGGAATTAGTGGTTCTTCCTTGTGGAGTGCAGAGTGCTTCTGGAGTGTTCCTGGGGAGGAAGGTGAGCCAAGGTCACCTTGAGACAGTGTGTCAGCACAACCTGCCAAGCATGTTGTATTGGAAATAGTTTTAGTGTGATGTTAATAGGCTGTAGCACAAAGCAAGGAGATAGCCTCTTCCCAGAAAGCTTTACTATAATACTTACTGGGCAAATCTGTGCATGAATAGATCTACTCCAGGGTTCTGACAAGTTGTGGTGAGTCTCACTGTGGTGATGAAAGCCTTCCGCTCCCTGCTTCTGCCCCTGTGCCAGAAGTAACTTGTCTTAGTAGCAGAGGTAGAAAAAGAGAATGTGCTTCACGTCCATTTTCTGTGTGAGCCAATCTGTTGTGCTTCTGACCGCAGTGGGGATGTTTCTTCTTGAAAGCTGAAGGGGAGTACTGCTGTCACGGTTGCTCTAAGCCATATTCTGTGCACGTGGGGGAATCTTGGATAGAAATGTTCACTGGTGCCAAGTGGTGGCTCCAGTCAGTAGACAGTGTCCAGTGTGATGGAGGGAGTGAGGCCAGCTGGGAGCTTTGTAAAGCTGCTCTTTCAGCTCCAGATTAAAAATTTTGGTCCAGCAGTTATGTGTTTTTAAGTTGCAGTGGTGAGGTACCTGGCAGCAATACCACCTAAAGAAAAAACATATGGTAGAACAGTAAGGCAAGAGCTTTGTCTTGCACTATTGGGAAACAATTTTTTCTTTGCTTGTTTTGGAACAGTGAACTTAAATCCAGTTGGATTGTGATTTATTTCTATGTTTGAAACAAAAAAGGGCATTTATGACTGCATATAGCTAGGCACAGGTGAGAGTCTTTCAAAGCTGCTAAATTAGCCCAGGAACTTGGGCCCTCGCTACTACACATGCCAAAGCCTGAGGAATATAGGCTGAATTTCAGGATATTGGAAGGTAGTATCTGCCAAATACTTACCAATGTTATGTTTTATAGTGCTTCCATAACACAGAACTTATGTCTTTTCCACTGAGGGTAAGCATTAAAGGTCAGCTGTGGGGGGAAGGGGAGAGATCTCCAAGGACAAAACTTTCTTTTCATTTTTTTAAAGACATTTATGTGCCAAAGGAAAAAAATGCTCTCCAAACCTGATTTTTAAAAACTTGCCAGTTTTTACCACAATTGAGCAGCAAAGTGGATTAAAAACAATGCCAGTAGTTTGCAGTGTAGAGACAGGCTGTTGCTGAAAGCGTGTCCTTGCTCTGGGAAGCAGAAATACCCTGGGTGGATGGAGGCGTGTTCTCCTGCAGGCCTCAGTATTTCATACCATTGCATCAGTGTGAGCTCAGCAGTCAGCTGTGGGAGGATGGGGAGGTCTGGACTTTGTGCTCTCTGTGTGCAAAGAAAGCTTGATGAGGATTTGGGGGTCTTGTTATTGATGGTTTTACCGTAGAAAAAGCAGATTAGCAAAGTGGTCTCTTGGTTTTTCTGTAGCCACTTCTCGGAGGGACAAACAACTTCTCGGGACCTGTTTATATAGGAAAATTATACTTGTGGCTGCCAGAAAGATTCTTTATGTGGACACTTGTTCTGAAATATTTGTAGCCTTTTTCATTCTAGCTTGGGTTCATTTTCTCCTTGATACTGTTTGAGCATTGCATGAGGATTACTTGAGGCAGGCTCCTGGTATGGTTTTGCCCTGCTTTGCTCTAAAGGGTCACAACACAACCGTGAAACAGGAAGACAGATTGTTCCAGTGACCACCAATATAGCTTTTTTTTCTGTAAAGTCATGGCTGGTGGTGGTGAAGTTGACAGCTTTGGTTTTAGTGGCAGACTCTCAATTCCAAGTGCTTGTTTCCAAAGCCTGTGGGGTCCCTGACTTGATTGTGCAGCATGAGAATTCCCTTGTCAGTTGGGGGACTGGGAAGAGGGGAAGGGAATGGTGTTACCTGGGCTTGTGGTTGTGTTTTCCACTTCTGGGGTCCAGGCTCTCCAGTGCTTTCACTGCAAGTGGTCCAGTACTGTGGCTCGCTGCCAGGTGCAGCCCTGTACACAAGGATGCAGGCAAAACCAGCTGCCTTGACTTGACCATTCCCTGTCTAAAATAACCCTCTCACTTCATCAGGGATGCTGGCTACTGGTGGGAGATGTATCTGACTGCAGCCCTTTGCTGTTTGTGTCCAGGTGGCAGGGCCACGGCTAGCGCTGACGCAGGCGGGGATAGGCCTGAGGCTGAGGAGAACAAGGAGGGATTCCTTTCCAAACTTAAGAAAATGTTTAGCTCCTGACACCCCATCCGAGGTAGGAGGCCTGTTGTGTTTTATTGTCGTCTTTCCCCCACGCTAAGCAGAATTCGCATTTCTTGGGAAGTAGAAGCAGCAAAAGCACAGCATTGCTTCTCACTTAGCCTCAGGCCTTCCAGCCACTGGTGTGAAAAGCCCTAGCTGTCCCCTGCGACCTGGAGAAAAAAAACAGGGACTAAATTGCATTGTTGCTGCAGCAAAAAGCAGCAAAAATGCTGGAAAAATGCTGGGTACATCTTCAGGGAGGTTGCTGGCCTCCCCTGCAGCTCTGCTTCCTTGTCCACTCGGTGGCTGTACCCCATTCAAAGCACCGAGGGTGGTCCCATTAGCTGGTAAAGCTGGGACCGGGCAGTTCTGCTGCCACTGCAAAGCCCAGGCTTGCTGGGAGATGCAGGTGGGCCTGCAGAACCTCCAGTGCCGGTATGCTCAGGCTGGACTCTCCCCTACCACGAGCTTACAGCACCGGGAAGGAATCAGTCTTTGTCGTAAAGCACAGCAAAGTCCCTGCCACACAAACGTGTTCAGTGTTATAACTCAGGGTGCCATTTAGTTGGTGTTGGCTTGCTGTGAGGGAGCGCTGCAGACTTGAAATCATCGATGGCAGATGCTCGTGTGTTGGATGCCAGGGGCTCAGTTCCTGTCACCGCAGGCTTCAAACTTGTCTGTCCTGCGTGGCTGACAAAGCGTGACAGCAGGTCAGGTGCCTCACAAAGCAGGCTGCAGGGGCTGCTATGCGCCTTGGGCCAATGCAGTCAGGCAATGCTAAACTTTTCTCTTGCTTCAACTGTAGGGAAGCGTTCTACTGGAAACTAAGAGCCAGCAGCAGCAGATCATCTTTGCAGTCAGGGATGAATCTTTGTGGCAGCGGGCTCTGGAGAGCGAAGGATGTCAGTCAGCAGCACAGTGAGAAACCCAGCTGGAGAGGCTACAAACCACTGAGGCACCAACAATCATCATGACACAAAACCCACCCATCATCCTAGGAAATGGTAATGAAGGAAAATGCCAGCTTTGCAGAAATGCAGCTCGCTCTCTCGAGGTTGCTCCACAGTCCCTACTGCTGCTGGAAGCTTGGTAAAAAAGTTGAAATACTATTTAGAATCCAAAACAGTGGAAATGTGAAATAAAAATTGTCCTTCCAGCACAGAGTGGAGCAGTTTGCTGTATGGAGTCCAAGATGACTGCTGCTCACTCAGGTGACCTTCTGAATGCTAGATGTGCTCAGTGAACTTACCACTGCTTATTTTCTCCTAGGAGACTTGGTGGGTCAGTGAGTTTTAACCCTGTCCTCACGACAGCCCTCCTAGCTGTCCTGCACATCTCAGAGTGGGAAGCCTCCCCATGGCTGGGACTCATCAGCGCCCAGCTGTCCTGGCTCCCTCAGCAGCCCTGGGGTTTCTTAGTCCTGCTGATTTCCTGCACAAAGAGCAGGGATGGAGTCTGCACTTTGCCTCAGGTTTCCCTCCCCCCCAATAACTAAAGTTACAACAGAAATGCTGTCGCTTCTGAATGGGTACAAGTTTATCACCATGCCCTTTGTCCCAAACTGGCAAAGTCTTCTATTACATTAGTGCAACACCCGTAGCATCAATGATTGGTCAAAGAGTCATTGTTCCTCCATGTGTGAGAATACAAGTGCAGTGGATCACTCCTTCCAGGTGGAGGAGTTGAGCTCTTGCAGTGAGTATCGTCATGGTTACTGTAGCCCGCTGTTGTTAGTTATACTGTGCAGGTACCATCAGCCCACACACTAATCGACCAGTTAAACAAGGACATGTCGTAGTCTTGCCCTTCTTAATTTGCTGAAATAAAGCACGTGTTGCCTCCTGATTAAACTGTCTGTAAAGTGATTCTGTATCCATGTAAATAAGATTGACTTCATAAAGATATTTAACACGTGCTGTGCCTTGCTGCCTTGTCTGCTCTTCCAACCCCGTCTGTCACCGCCTTTCCCTCCCCCAGTAACAGGAGCAAAGGTCTTCTCTTGGAGAAGGAGAGGACAGGGCGAGATGGCTTGAGTATTGCTCTGGTGGCTGCAGTGGACTTCAAGCACAGGCAAAGGCTGCCAAATCCCAGAGCTCTTACCTGAGCAGTACCTTAAGCATGGAGTGGTGTAGGGGGAGGAGCTTTTTAAGTGTCTTAAATCCTAAGGTTGGGCAGTCTTGCAAAGGTTTTACTTGGCTCATGGGGGCAGCAATTGAAATTAGCTCTAGGAGCCCAAAGGCCAGGCCACAGCTGAGAGCTGTCTGACGTGAGGAATTTGGCTCAGCTTTCATGTTACGCAGCGCAGGAAGTCACTGCACAGTCCCGGTTTGCTAGGGTGGTGCTAAGGCAGCGCTTTGTCTCTCCAGGCGTGCTGCTCTGCCTGCTGGTTCACCTGCGGTGCCTGAACCTGGTCCATGGAGAAGCCCTGGTGTTTTCTGTTTGCTTAGGAGCCTGTGCCAGTGCTGCTTCTGGGCCGGCTGTGGTGCCTGCAGTGGCTGCAGAGAAGGCACTGCCTTTCGGGGCCCAGAGGTACTACGCGTTCAGCCTGCCGCGTGGTGCTGCATGC